TGGAGCGGAAGTCACAGGTGTGGGCGCTAAGGAACTGCAAAAACTGCCAAGTTTCTTTTTGCCCATAGTAGGGTCGAGAGGGGACTCGCGTTCTCGGTCGCTATCACTAGCTCTGCACGAAGACCCCGCCTGGAGGCAGGGATTGGCGCCGCCGCTCCTTTGGTCCAAGCTTGCGTGGAGAGCCAGCGCGGACAGGTCAGAGGGCAATCATTTTCCAATGCCCCAGCTACTAGAGCTGGCAGCCCCCGCGTTGGCAAGTCCGCCAAAGGACTGGGGTGATGTTAGAGGGCCGCTGGCGGCGGCAATTTTGTCATTGCGCCGCGTTCGGTGGGAGTTTCACACTGCGCTGATTTTTAATGATGATGATGGGCATCTCTGGCCGCTTACCACTTTCTCACCTAAGTTCTTAGAAAAAATGAGCGCTGAATGGCAAGGCGCCCATTTGTCAACGGTTGCCAAGAAAATGGGGCTGGAGCCGGAGGCTCGCCTCGATATGTCAGTAGCCCGCCAGGTCATTCGAGGCCGGGCCGACAAGAAAGAAGCGGGCATACTCTTGTCATTCCTCTGCCAATCCATCTGGGCAGGCAAGAGACTCCAGCAGGCAGGGTACGATGCCTCCTCCAGATGCCAGTGCGGACTTTAGTCAGATGATCTGTCGCACAGGCTGCACCGCTGCCCGATTACAGCGCCCCTTCGTGAAGAAATGCTGCAGCCAACAGACATGGCCATCCTCAATGACAAGCACCGCAATTTTCCATTGGCCTGCGGATTTCTAGAATTGCCCGGGTTCTCAGTGCAACCTCCCAGGGGCACGGGCACAGTACCCTACAATTTCCGCTGCGTAGACTCCTCGGCGAGTATCCGCGACGCCTTCAGGGGAGAAGTCTTCACAGACGGCTCATGCCTGAAGGAAGGGCCCGAGGAATTCCACGTGGCAGGATGGGCGGTCATTAAGCTCACTGCCGGGGGGGCCTTTACGCGGCTTTGTGGGAGTCGGTGGGCGACCAATACCTCCAGACCTCACCGGCAGCGGAGCATGTGGCAGTTCTAGCATGCGTAGAGCATTGCCCAGAGGCTAACGCCATCCACTCTGATTTTTTGGGGGTGGTGCAGCTTGCCACGGCGCCTCGGGACCAAGTTGTCTCAAGACACCACGTCTACGCCGGACTGCGAATTAAGATAAGGTCATCCCCAGCCTGGGGTAGGGCATTTACCATACAAAAGGTCGCAGCGCACGTTGATGCTGACACGCTCGAACCGCAGTCGAGGGATTGGCAGTTGGCCAAGGGCAACGATTTCGCAGACAAAAAATGGGAAAATGGGAGCCTCCCTACTCGCACAGCAATCGCTTGATGAGCGCCAGAAATACAATGAGAACGCCGCAACTTTGAAGCGGTATCTTTGCTACGCGGCTAAGGGGTTGCTACTATACCCCAGGCAGGCGCCATCGAAGAAGCTCAGGAAAGCCTACCACAAGGACAGGCGGAACCCAGGCTTCCAGACGGGCGCGTCGGCGGCCAAAGAGGCACTGCCTGAGCCACAGACGAATGCCCCAGCGGGAGCCCATGCCCCGCTCCTACCTCCACCTCCCCCCCCAGTTGCGGCTCAGCCGGCGAACGCAGCCGAGATCCAGAGCTCGCGCAGGCGAGGCCCCCTATTCCCGCCACTGCCTCTGACAAATGGGCATCAATTTAAATGGGTGCGCAGGAAGTGGGCGTGCCAGAGGTGCCTCAGACGCACGCTGCGCGATCCCCCGTTCTTGGCTTTCCAATGCCCCGGATACAATCGGGTGCTCAGCACACTTGCTGCTGAACCAAAGGGACAAACGATTTTCGTGACAGCCACGCCAGACGGCATTATGTTTATTTGCATGAATTGTGGCTGCATATCGGAAGGAGTGCGGGTGGACAAGCTCGGTGCGCGCTGCAATAATCGCCCCAACAATGACCACACCCGGTCAAATTTGAGGCGCATCCGCAATGGGCAGCACCCGTCCCACAGGCGTGGTAACGCAGCAGTCCTTGACGAATTAGTGCCCTTGCGCGACTTTTTGTAAAGGCGGAAAGGGGCTCACACCCGCATGGAGAGACTGTACCAATGCAGCGGGTGGAAAATATGTCGTCGTCCCCGCCGCCATCGACACACGGAGAGCAGTAGTAGGGGAGGGGTTTTGCCGAGCAGGTATTGCTATCTAGTCGCGGGGTTACACGTGACCGTAAAGGTAAAGGGATAAGCGAGGGGCAATGTTAGGGCTTCACAGTCGTGGGGCGGCCCTCCTGTTGAGGGAGGATGAGAGTGGGGCTGTTAAAAGGGCTTCACAGTCGTGGGGCGTTGCTCGCCTGCCTCTCATTGTGATGAACGCACGTGTGCAACGTGTGCGTCGACACAAGGTGGCTTGCACACGTCTTGCAGAATCGCCATGCCGATTCCCACGAGGTAGGGGGGCCGTTACAGGGAGGGGGTCCAGTGGCCGATGCTCTCGTGTCATGGGTGCTGCAGCTTGGCATTGCCGTGTGCACCTCCGTGCCGTTGTATGGTTGTCGCTGCAGCGCGGTGTACCCGTGAAAGGGAGTGAGATCCCAGCCTCCAGGAGGCCAGAGGGGAAACAACACAACATAACAGAAGTTGGATCCGGCACGAATATGATGTAGACATATTCTAACATATTTTAGAACATGTCAGTGCCCCCCCTGCCGGCCCATCCGTAAGATGATGGGCCCTCTCGCACTCCGTTGCCAAAGTGGCTCAAGTGCCGCAGTTTCCAGCTCCCGCCGCGTCCCACCCTGGAGCGGCACTTGGGCGGCAAGGCGTGTGTGACTTCGAACCAGCCCACCTGGTGTTGGGCGAGGTGCTCCTCAGAGGTTCGTGGACCGCCCAGGGGCACCGAAGGTGTCGCCCTGGGCGGCACAGGGCCAGTGTCGGTTACCATAGTGAGCCAGGTTCGCTCTGTTACTATGGTGGCTCCGGTTACCTCTGCCCCTGTGGTACTGGTGGCTGCCTCAGCCTGTTACCAGTGCGGGGTAGCGTCGACCCAATGTGGTGGCATTGGGTCGCCTGGTGCGGTTGTCCCGCAGTGCCAGGTGACGCTGTAGGCGTCTTCCCCACGCAGCGCCATGTCTACCGGGGTAGCTTGGTGACGCCGTCGGTCTCTCGGTGGCTTTCGCCACACCGCCGATCCCCCCCGTGTCTCCCCTCGCCCGTGTGCGTGACGTTTGTCATGACGACTTGTGGGAGGGGGGTGGGCAAGCTTCACAGTCTCAAGGGGAGGGGGGATGAATTGCCATGAATGGCCATTCAGTCGCGGGGGGCACGTTGTTTCACAGTCTGAGGGGAATGGGGGAAGGGATGAATTGCCACTTAGTGGTGGGGGGACAAGTGACAGCGAAGGGCAAAGGTAAGAGTTTGGCGATAATAAGGCTTCACAGTCGTGGGGCGGCCCTCCTGTTGAGAGAGGATGAGAGTAGGGTAGTTAAGCGGGCTTCACAGTCGTGGAGCGGAACCCCTCCAGAAGGAGGACGGTGGCGCATTGCATATAACGGGCTTCACAGTCGTGGGGCGTGTCTCGCCTGGGCATCAGCCGCAGCAGCAGCGAGGATGAACCCGCCCCCGCCCAAGCGGAGGCCAGTGACGGCGGCGATGACGACGACGGCGCCTGATCCCTCTTTCAGCGCGCGACAGCGGGGGGGGGGCGCGCAACTGAGGCCGGCCACGGAACGGCCGGGCAGGGGAGAACATGACCCCTTCGGACACAACACGTCCCACCCTACCCACGATAAGGGCCAGGGCGGGCGGGGATTTTTCAAGAAACATGGGTCGCCGGCCGTTGCATCGAATGCCCAGCTCTTGAAGAGCTGACTTGAGCCCAATGCGACGGACCACACGAAGAGCGACCCTGAAAGGGGATTGTAGCAATTTCGGCCCGCGGGGGATTGTAGCAATTTCGGCCCGCGGGGGATTGTAGCAATTTCGGCCCGCGGGGGAATGTAGCAATTACAGCCCGCAGGGGACACAAGCAACTTCGGCCCCAGGGGACCGGAGCACCCTTCGGCCCAAAGCCAAACATCCCCCCGCGGAGCGACTTAAGATCGGAAGCCGCTGCGGCCCAGGAAAGTCGAACATTTCCTTATGCACGGCCTGCGCGAGAACGGGGCCCGCACGAGCGGGCCCGCACGGGCCCGCGCGGGCCCGCAGGCCGTGCATGAGGAAATTTCGGTTTTCAGCGACCCCACGGGCGCGGCCAAGCGGCACCGACTGATCCGCGCCATTCTGGGCTCGCATCACCATCCACCTCCCCCCTGGAGCATAGGGGGCTGCAGCACATTCGGCCCGCGGAGGATTGTAGCAATTTGGCCCGCGGGGGATTGTAGCAATATCGGCCCGCTTGTTGGTACCTACGCCGGGCACGAACATCAGTAGAGAGATTCACATTGCCATGTAGTTGAACAGGTCATGCTCCCCTTTGTTAGGGTATGAAACGGTAACACTTTACCCGTGCCTTAAAAGACAGCCGAGACAATCCTCCTGATCTTCCTTCTCCTCCTCCTCCTCCTCCTCGTCCTCCTCCCTCCTCCCCCTCCTCCTCCTTGTGCTCCTCGTGCTCCTCGTCCTCCGCGCCCTCCTCGCCCTCCTCCTCCCCCTCCGCCCCTCCTCCTCCTCCTCCTTCTTCTCCTCCTCCTCCTCCTCCTCCTTCTCCTCCTCCTCTCGGGATGGAGAAAACGACGCTCGGAACTCTCGATCTCATCCTTCTTGCATCCGGGGCTACGACGGTGCGGTAGTAATGGTTACGCCGTCGTCCCACATCGTGCAACGAACACATGGCGCCTCGAAGAAAACATGGCCCGACTCCCGACTACATCTCCATGCCGGACTTGACAAGCCTGGTCGGCCTTTTAAGCGGAGTGGCGTGGAAAGGGGGCAAGAACACCAATCATGGCTTCCACAGCGCGCGACGTCAGGGTTCCCCAACGCCGCTCAAGCTCCCTCTGTCCCACCGCCGCCGCCTGCCAGGACTTCCAAGAGGAAGGTCCTCGCAAGTCGCAATGATGCCATCTATGTCCGGGTTGCACTCCAGCTCCTCCTCAGAAGTGTTTTTCTATCGCGCTTCTCTGTTTCTCCTGATCCTCGTCCTCCTGCTCGTCCTTGTCGTCGTTCTCCTGCTCATCCTGTGCTGACAGCTGGAGGGCCGGTTAAGAAGGAGCGGGACTTGCTGACGCTTCCTGAAGCATCCTGGAGGCTTCGATTGGGCCTCCAGCGGGCGTCATTGGAACTCCCCCTAGAGCTTTCTGGGAGCCTCTCAGCGCGGCCTTCCGACGCATTCCGTGGGCCGATACAAGGGCCTCTGTGGGGCCTATGTAAAAGCGTCTAGGGCCTACTGGGATGGGTCAGCCGCTTCGTGTTGGTGCCTCCTCGAAGCTGCCGGACTTCTGCTGCTTCATGATGTCGGCTGCTTCATGTGCAAACATCTGGAACCTGGCGCTTTACCGCTGCGCTCCTCTAAGTACGCGTCTTGTTTTTTATCTATACGTACTGGGTTTCGACATTTGGCCGAAGGGTCAGGGGGGGGCTGGGTCTGGGCCATTGCTCAGTCGATCTGCTTCTGGCAGTCGCGTACGCAAACCACAGCAGCCCAAATCTGGCCTATGGGGAGCGGGGAAAGGGGGCCCGCGCCCGTCTGCAAAACAACAATAAAACAACTACAAGGTCTTGGAACATTAGGACGCTGCCCGGGGCCAACCCGACCCTATGGACACACCGTGCGCACGAGTGCAGCAGGTTCCCGTCTCGCGAAGTGGGCTCTGGTTCCTCACATCTGCGGCAAGCACAGGGATGCAGTGTGAGGGGACATGCCTTCTCAGAAGGCGGCGGGGCTTATCAGAAGCCCTCGCGCCTTCTGCAATACGTTCTATGTACATCTTCTCCGAGGACGCAGACGGCTTCTCAGAAGGCGCGGAAGCTTCTGAGAAGCCCCGCCACCTTCTGATAAGGCTTGCCCCCTCTCACTTCCCCCCTGGGCTCGCAGCCGATTGCACCGCGCGAGCCTTCCAACCCTGAACGATCTCTGCTCTCAGAGAACCCCACACAAGCTGTTAACCCCATGCATCGTGTATACCTCGCGCCGTGAGGTGTTCAAGCTTGAGCGCTTGCGTCGGCATCGCCAATGCGCACTTGCGCGGTGTCGTTCTTCGGCGGCGAGCGATGGGGGGAAGTGAGAAGGGGCGGGCCTTCCCAGAAGGCTCGGAAATCCAACGGCCTTCTGAGAAGTTTTCTAAGCCTTCCCCGAAGACACCAAACACTTCTCAAGAGCCCGAGGGTTTTTGCGAAGCCTCGCCGCCTTCTGAGAAGGCCTTCTCCTTCTCGGTTCCCCCCCCCTCGCTCGCCGCCGAGTGCAGTTCTACATGTGAGCGATGGAGTTACGCACGACGGCACGGCGTCTTGAAGCGGTGGCTTACGCGGCCGACAAGGTAACATTCCGCACGGAAGCACGGGCGCTTGTGCGCGACCTTCCGCGAGGAACCCACGCGCGAAAGCCCGCGCAGTCGATCCCAATCTGTTTGCGCTGCTCGCATGCATGGGATTTTATGTACTTATCGCCCCTCCACGTGTAGCCGCAATCGGCAGGGCATGTGAACGTTTTCTTATTCGGCGTTTCGACATTTGGCGAAAAGGGGTGGCAGGGGGGGGGTCTGGCTCCGGACTGCTGATTGATGCGACTGATTGGAGCAGTGCGACCTATGGGGGAGACTCCACCTGCTCAAAACAGGCGCCAAAAACAGCCATGATCTTCTCCATGGGGGGGGGGAGCAGGGGGGGTGCGAGGGCCCGCGCCGATCGGCAAAACAATGAACGAGAGCACGACGACCATCTAAATCCCACCGCGTGTCATGAGCGCATGGGCGACTTGTGCAGGCTAATTGCCAAGTGCATCTTGCGTATCCTAGCATGTGGGTTACCATGACGAGCTGGCGCACCCGTGCCAAGGAATAAGAGGATACAGTGCACTTCCGGCAGCTAAGGATCATTCGTTGCTGGACGCGCGACGTTCACCATGGAACAGTGCTGTAGTTATCTATGTGTTGCTGCTCATTAGTCATTCTCGAAGTGACGGGGGTACATACTTCTGAGAATGCGGAGATGTAACGTTCTTTTGTCTAAGGCAGAGACGGGCAAATGACTGTTGATCGTACGCCCCCAACCACATCAGCATAGCATACTGTTGGCAGTTGCGGGGGCTGCTTGTGGCGATCCCAACTTATGCTTGACTAATGTCCCCCCCTTCTATCTGCACCTGCGTATTCGCGACAACTCCCCCAGGAATCACTTCCGGATGGAATGGTGGGGATCCTTGAGGGTACTCTACCAAGACAACTGTGAATACACACCTCCAATAGGTCCTGAACTCGCCACCCCACTAGAAAATGCATCACCCCTGCAACGCCGCTAAAACACCACGCTACAGAGTTGCAGTGCTACGTCCCACTTGGACGCAACACTGTTCGGGAACGGCCTCTGCGGCCGCCGCTAATGTCCTCGATTACCTGTGCGCTCAGCCCCCCCCCGCCCAAGCCCAGACCTTGTGCTTAAGTGCATTGGGCGTTCCAGAAGAGGATCTCGCCTTCGAAGGTTCGGAACGTTTACCTTTTTCCTTGAGTGGCACATGGCGGAAGGCTGGCGGAAACCACTGGAAGCACAACCAGAACGTCACCGCCGGCGATTCCCCCAACCCTCTTACACTTGGTTCTCGTCTTGAGTAGAGCACTGCTCGCGCGTTTCCTCCTTCTGCTCATCCCTTCCTCCGCTTGCCTTCTGCCTCCTGCCTGCATGCTTCTTGCTTCGTAGTGGTGGCCTGGGAGGTGTGCCACTTCCGTGCGCTCCTGCGAGGCCCAGCTGACTCAGCTGGGCCTCACAGGGGTTGTACGCGGACCCACATAAAACCTTGCGGCTCTCTGGCGGGCTGCCAGTGGCCCGACTGCTGCCACTTTCGTGGGTGACAGGGAGGTCCAGCGGGGTGGTATCTCACGCACATGCAGGCTAGACCTCGCAACTTCCTGGAGGGCTGCCACCCGGGGCCCGCGCAGTTGTCGCCCTGTGCGTGGGCTCCCGGGAGGTCGAGCGGGGTGGTGGTTTAAGCACATCCAGACTCGACCTTGCGGCTTCCGAAGGTGCTGTCAACTGCGCAGCCGTCGCCACTTTCGTGGGCTCCTGGAAGGTAAGCCGGAGTGATATCTTACGCACACCCGAACTTAATCTCGTAGCTCCTTGGGGGGCTGCCAACTGCGCGCCATTTTCGTGGGCTCTTGTAAGATCCAATGCGGTGGTGTATTACACGCGCATCCAGAATAGTCCTCGCGGCTCCCTGAGGGGCTGCCGCCTGTGCAACTGTCGCCACTTTCGTGGCTCTTGGGAGGTCCAGCAAGGTGGTGCTTACGCACATTCAGGCTAGATCTCGCGGCTCCTTGGGGGGCTGTTGCCTGCGCAGATGTCATGGGGGCGCCTGCCCTTTGGCGGACTGTTCACCGATACTGCAGACCTCCAAGCTTTTGGAGCTTGCTTTAACCAAGTGGCCACGAGCACGTGTGGGTGGCAATATTTGAAGCGCCAGGATGCCAACGCACGCATTAACAAGCTGTACATGAGGATATTCAGATATACACGGTGAGAGAAATAAAGAAAGAGAGTTATACATAGAGGGAGAGGGAGAGAGAGAGAGAGAGAGAGAAAAAAAAAAAAAAGCGCGAGAGAAAGAGAGAGAGAGAGAGACAGCGAGAGAGAGAGAGAGAGCGAGAGACAGGGAGAGAGCGAGAAAGAGAGAGAGAGAAAGAGAAAGAGAGAGAGAGAGAGAGAACAATCTATAACGAGAAGGGAGCGAGCGAGAAATAACGGGTCGCATGTCTGCTCCTCCAAGCTGCTCTTCGAGAGAGATGCTCGCGAGCTCGTCGGCGACTCCAAGCGCCGCGGTTTCCTCTCAGCACTGACGGCCTGGTCGACGGCGCGCGAACCATGATGCAGTGCACTGGCCCCAGCGTTTGCGAGGTGTCCTCCGACATTGGCGGCGCCGTCCACCAAATCATCGACCTCGATGTTTCCGACGCGCTCCGTCAGGTTCGCGAGGTGCTTAGACGTGGCGTTCGAAATGTGCCTTGCCAGGTCACCTGGGGGCCGAAATGTTGATGCGGAGAAGATCTCCAACGGTTCATCTGTATGTATATATATATATATAGATGTCCGCGGCCCACCCATGACCCAGCTCGCGGCCCACCTGCGACCCAGCCCGCGACCCACCCACATTGCTTTAACGAGAAAAGCGGCGCCTGCGGCGAACTCGTTGCATACTTTGCGGAAGCTGTGCGCCTGCGGCGGGCTTGTTCGGAATCTCGCAGACTGCCGAGGTCCCCGCCGCCCCCTTGACTCTCATCCGCAACTGCGGGGGGCCACGTATATCAGGCGTCCAAACAGCACCCACGCCACTTCCAGAACGAGCGTGCCTCAATCGGCTGCTGCTCGTCTCCCTTCATTCGCTTCCTGTCCTGCATTCCGCTCCACCTCCTGCTTCGCCCTGTTGTCCTTGCTCCTCCCCGTCCTCCTTCCTCCTACTCCCGCCTCCTCCTCCTCCTCCTCCTCCTCCTTCTCCTCCTCCTCCCCCTCCTCCCCCTCCTCCTCCTCCTCCTCCTCCTCCTGCTCCTCCTCCTCGTGTTCCGTGTTTGCCCCGTCGTCATCGGCCAACTGTGGGCCAGTCGGCGCCGTGAGCGCCAGGGCCCCCAACGACCACTCACGCCTGGGACCCTCCCTACAGGCGTCCACAGAACACCCGGGCCACCTCCAAGGCGAGCGGACATTAGTCATCGTCACCGTCTTCCACCGACCACGCAACGACCGAGAGTGCCGCGGTATGCACAACTAGAACCACGCGCGCACTTCGCGCGCGCGCGGAGGTTCCAGTCACGCTCGAAGATCAATCATCGCAAATTACCGTTGGATACTGCCAAGTTGACTCGGGAGAGCCCTTAAGATTGGTCGTGGGACCTGCCCCGATATAGTAGCTCAGAAGTCGTGTAAAGGGATCACCTGGGGCTTCTATGACGCGTCGTCTGGGGCTGAAAGAAATCAAAGGAGAACTGGGGTGCCCGAGTCTGGCTCCGCATTGCACGTCGCTTGAGCCGAATCATGGTGCATCGGGACCGTCTCGCGCGCTTCGCGCGGACTCAAGTTCTAGCCAGTCACCGCTCACCGGCGAATGCTGTTCTACACGCACTGAGCATGGATATCCTCTCCTACATCAGGGACACAAAGCACCTTCCACAAGAAACCAAAACCTGAGACCCCAGGACGTCCAGGGAACGTCAGAACCCTCGACACCCAAGACACCCAGGGCACCCTTGGTGCAAACAGGGTGTTTCTTGGCATGGGTTTCCACTGTACTCTTGCTCTGGTTTCTACTGTTTTTTCCCCCCCTCTCCTCTCTTCTTGTCTCGTTCCTTATCTTCCTTACTCCGCTTCCTCCTCCCCCCCTCCTCCTCCGCAGGCGCCTTCGGTGATATTCTTGACCTCGATCGACGATACCCCTCCTGCCTGGATCCCCGTCTCGTCCACGATTATTTTCGCGATGGCCTCCAAGGTGGCCCCAAGAGAAGCTCGAAATGCCCCCGAAGGATCCCCAGGAGGCGCCCATGACGCCAGACTCCTTGAAACACCTCAGGGAAACAATATATTTCGGCCTTCTCGCCGATTCGTTTTCGGCGTGCTTCCCAGGCTTCAAGATGGCTCCAAGATGGGCCTAGAGAGGGCCAAGCGGCGCTCGCCCCCCCCCCCCGGCCTCCAGGGGCCCGGCCGCGAGGTGTCGGAGGGCCATTTTTGGCTGACGATGGCACCAGTGGAGCCCGCATGGCTCAAGATGGCCTCGAACGTCGCACAAGATAGCCAAACATGGCTGAATACACATATATATACACATATATATATATGTATATATATATATATGTATGTATCATCCCGCTCCTTTCGCTGCGGCCAAACGTCGTCAACACGTTTTCTGACTGGGCGAGTGGCGCAGCACGAAGCTCAGACACGGAACAACACGGAGCGGCACCTTGCACTGGCGATCGTGACTTTGCCGATCCTGCCCCTGCAAGCAGGGCTGAGCCAGGGAGGGAGAGGAGGGAGGCGAAACTGTAGGACAGAAGCGGCTATGGACGCTCTCGATCGCCAGACGATCGACGCGCAAGCACAAACATCATCCCGCTCCTTTCGCTGCGGCCAAGCGTCGTCAACACGTTTTCTGACTGGGCGAATGGCGCAGCACGAAGCTCAAACACGGAACAACACGGAGCGGCACCTTGCACTGGCGATCGTGACTTTGCCGACCCTGCCCCCAAGACAACTTCTCCCAAAAAGTTCAACTGGCCTCTTAGGCCGATCACACTACACAAACGTTCAAAATGTTGTTGGCTAAGGTCTGTGATGTTTTAAGCGCGAGAGCCTGCCGGAAACATCACACGATAGCTTTACAGAGGGGTAGTGGATATGGTTCCGCTATCTTTGTCATGAACTGTAAAGGCTCACCGGGCGAGATCCCACACTTTCCCGTCAACTCATGGTGTGGTTGATGGGAGCGCGTACGAGTCTCTTTGGACGCCGAGCACGTGCCTTTGAGCGAAGACAAATCCACCCACAATGCGAGCAACCTGGTCCTCTTCCTCCACGGCACTCCGTAGAGGCAGAAGTCTACAATTGTTGGACGGGCATTGGCATTGTTTAAACTGCGAGCTATGGGGGGCGCTGACCACACGCGAGAACTATGCGGGTTCTCGAGAATAACTGGGATTCGCAGGCGCAAGCACAGATATAGAATACTGGCACAAAACTGCATGAGCTGATTACCGATCAGGACCTTGCGTGCATCAACAGGCGAAAGGGAAGGGAGCCCCATGATGCATTCTTTGCAGCGCAGCGGCCCTGGGCCGGTCGCGCCCCCTCGGCGCGCAGTGGACCAGGAGGAGCACAGCATGCCCATCCAAATTGCACAGATGTGGCCGCTACGCAGCCAACCTCTAGTCAGCTTCTGATTGCACGGGCGGGTCAGATCATACTCTTCGCCACGCACCAGATCCCACTCGAAAACTGAAATGTCTCTCAGCGCCTCCTCGCGCCGCCAGGCCTGCGCCCAGCGCCCTGTCCCGCTGAAGAGCTCAAAGGCGACCTGGCCCCGTGGGGCGCGGGCGGCAGCGGCAAGCAGGTCCTCGCGAGGAGCTGTCCAGCGCGGCTGTGGCAGGCCTTGGCGTGCTCGAGGGGCCCCTTGGAGAGCCGCCCCAGCACTTGGTTGAGCCGCCCGCCCTTCTCGCAACGGCGCAGCGACCTCACGCTTGCCCAGCGCCCGCGGCGGAGCACGCCCTGCAGGTCCGTCCCTCTGGCCGCTGGCGATCTCGTGCGAAGACCCCCCGTGCCGGCACTGGTAAAGGTGGTTGATGCCGATCACCTCCAGGTTGAGCAGCTTCACCGCTGCACTGAGGTGCTTCGCCAGCTCCGAGCACACGAAGGGGAAGAGGCGCAGCTCCGCGCCGTGCCGCGGCAGCTGCAGCCCCGCCGCCAGGTCGCTGCACTCCGCGTTGTCCAGCACGAGGGCCTCGTCGTACAGCCCCGCCTTCGACGGCTGCATGCCCTCCGCCGGGTGGAGCACCACGCTCCAGCGAGCGTGGCCCGATCCCGCGCCCGCCAGCGGCGCCACCAGGTCCTCCACGCGCATCCCGGTGACGTCCACGGGCCTGAGGTACAGGGCGTGCATCAGGGCGACGCACATGCGCATCTCCCAGGGGTTCCCCAAGAACGTCATCGCATTCAGGATCAGGTGCATGACGACGAGCGGCATCGGCAACCTCGTGGCCCCAGGAGCTATCTTGTTGAAGCCCGCCTGGGCCCTCGTGGTTCGCTTGGGCCCCACTCCAGCGCGCCCCAGCTGCCAGCAGAAGGCCGCGGCCGCCCTCAGCTTGCTGAAGTCCCCCGCCGTGGCCCCCTCGAAGTACATCGCGTCGCCCCTCATCACGATCGCCTCGTCCCTCTCGGCGAGCGTGTTGTGCGGCAGTCGGTGGGCAGTTGCCCATGCCAGGAACTCCTCCATCAGCTTTTCGTACAGCACCTCCTGCGTCGCCGCCACTGACCTCGACTCGAGGAAGGCCCGCCCGCGGCTCCAGCTCTCCTCTGCCTCCTGCAGCCGCCCGCGCCGAGCCGCCGCGCGATCCCCGCGCCGCGTCGCCTCCGCCTGCGGCGCCTTGGCTGGCGTGCGGGCGCTCCTCTTGCGACCCGCCGCCTTCGCCCTCTCGGCTCCGCCGCGGACCAGAGCGCCAGTCCTCTCGCGCTCCAGGGAGGTCGTGCTCGCAGCTCGGGTGCGGGGCAGGCTCCCCGTCACAGCTGCCGCCAGGATCGCGGCGCCGCGGGTCTGCTTGCGGCTCCGCGACGGCATCGCCGCGTCTGGGACCGACTGGGCGACTACCCAGGAAAGCCTGATGAAGCTCGGGCCCAGGTGGCTGAAAGATACGGGAAGGCTCGTCAGCGGGATCATTTTCGGACATCACCCAACGGACTGAAGTACCCACACCTGCCGCTAAGTAGCAGCCCTGCGGGCGGCGGCCAGCGGACCGCACAGCGCCGAAATGCGATCACGTCGCCCGTCGCCGCCCGGTAGTCCTCCACGTGCGTGTCGCCGTCGGGCGAGGTGATGACCACCTCCTCAATCCCCAACGACGCCACCACCCCGTGGCACAGGCGCTGGTGCCAAAGCAGCGGGGGCGGCGCCGCGGGGTCGTTGAACAACGTGAACCCCCACTCCAGCGGAATCCCCGCCAACGCCCCGGCTGCCGCACTTGGCTGGGCGGTCGGCCGCTGCTGAGCGGCGAGCCAGCCAGGCTCCAGCTGCGAGCCCCAGGCCGCCCGTCACCACCAGCGCCGACGCGCCGAAGCCCGACGTTGGCGTCTCGAGCTGCAGGCGCCAGTCAGGCCCAGGATCGGGCGCCCCCGGGCAGGGGGGGCAGCGTGGGCAGGCAGGGCACTGCGGGCACGGCGGCGGGCGCCCCGCCCAGAGCACCGCCGCCAGCCCCGCCTGGTGCACCAAATCACCCACCACGCCAAGCGCGAAGGGCAGCACCCCGGCCATCCGCGCGGG